GTGTGGGGATCCCGGGGCCCCAGGGCTGCGGGTGCCAGTTCAGCTGGGCTCCCGGGCCCAGTGCGTTGAGCGAAGGCTTTGCCAGCACCCACTTTTAAGTCCTCACCCGACTTTTAAACGAATGATCCGCCCGGCAGGTGGGAGGGGGCTCAGCGGCGGGCGGGGCGCGTCCTTAGCGCCCACGCGGGGGCTGTCCTCTTGGAAAAGCCCTCCTCGACCTTCCCGGGCACCTTCCCGTCCTCGGCTCGGAGGTGCCCAGGGCCTTTGACCGCCCCCCGCCGCGCGCCAGCCCCAGTCGCTGTCCCGGTACTTGGGGAAGTCAGGAGCCCGGTTTGTCCAGCCGTCGACCCGCGTGTGGAGCACCAGCCTCTCCCCCTTCCGGACTCGCGCCATCCTGGGGCGCCGTCCCTGGCGGTAGCCTCGGGTGCTCGCTGTACTGGCCCGCCCCTCCCTTGTGGATGCAGCCCAGGAGCCCGCCCATCTGCGGGCATCCTGCCCCATCGCCCCCAAAACCCAGAGTCGACGCGTCTGGAGGCGCTTTCCTCTCATGGACGCGGCCCCTCCTGTTGCTTCCTTCCTAGCGCAGCACGGGGCCGAACAGCCCAGGCGATCATCCGGGCCCCTGGTGGGGAGCGCTCGCTGCACCCCGCCCGCGAGGTGCTTCTCCCAACCCCCCGGGCTTCTCTCCCCATCTTTCTCCTCGGACCGACGACCCGCCTCCCGAGAGGCCCAGGGCGTGATGGCACTGAGGGAGGGAAGGAGGCCAAGGTCGTCCTTGACCCGGGGCTTCAACGCAGGGGTGTGCTGCGCTGGTTACGAACGGTTCTGGCTGTGTCCCGTCCAAGCTTTGGAGGAAGGACGTGCTAGAACAGTGGTTCTCCTCATGCGGTGACCCCCAACCATAACATTATTTTCGTTGCTTCTTCAGCACTAATTTTCTAATGGTCTTAGGCGACCTCTGTGAAAGGGTCTTTCGACACCCCCCACCCACCCAAAGGGGTCGCGACCCACAGGTTGAGAACCGCTGTGCTAGCAGGAGGAGTTGGAGAGCATCCTCCAGGATGCTGGGCATGGCCTCCTCCCCCAGCCCAGCCCAGACCTGGACCCAGAGCCTTCCTGAGTACTGTTAATAATTGGGTCAGGGAAACATCTTGGAAACGACCCCCCATACATACCTCACCCCTTTCCCACTGAGGCGGCCCCAGGAATTTAACAGCAGCCAGCCTTCTTCCCCTGGCTCTTCCAAGGGCCCTCTCCTGAGGGTGTCCTGGGTTGGGCTCTCAGGAAGGGGAATCAGCAGGTGGGAACAGGAGGCTGCTCAGAGCTGGTGACATTCTGTGGCTTCCCTTGCAGAAGACATTCCCACCATGTCTCAGAATGGATACCTTGAGGATATAGGTGAGTGAGGGCGGGGCGTTGTGGGGGTTGCTGCTGGTGGGGGTGTATACAGAGAGAGAATGAACTGCTTAATCAGAAATCTCTAGAGGGCCTGACTCACCCCGCTCTGCTTGGGACCAGTGTACCCAGCTGGGTGCTGGGAAGCGATGGCATCTTCCCCACTAGCAGGTGTGGCACGGGCCAAGTGGCAGCTGCAGGTCCCCTATTGGACCTGTAGTGCAAGGAGGCCCAGCTCCTGACCATTCCAAGCTCTCCCATGGTTCTTGCCCACTATGACAATACTTTGGTTATCTGTCCAGCATTAGGCGAGTAGTATAGTTGCCCGTTTTCTTCAGTCCCCTCCCAGCCCTATGAGCAAAGGCTGCTGTTGCAACCCTTAAATGTAATATTACTGTGACTTGGTTTCCCCTACTTTCACCATCTAGCTCCCCTGCCATGGCTCTGGTCTGCCCTGTCCCCAGGCCCGTGAGAGGGGTGTTGAATAAGACGGCTTGGTCATAGTGGTGAACCCAAGGTCCCCATGGCATGGGGCACTGGTGGGCAGATTAGGTATGTGACTGGGCTATAGGATGGAGGGGGTGGGGACATGGCATCCCAGGAGTTCTATAGGGACCTGGTGGTATCCACTGGGCAAGCCCTGCCAAGAAAGGGCCGAGCCCAGGGTCGAGGGAGAGAAGATGGGGTCAGTGTGTGAGGGGCAATGAGGAAGAACAGTAGGCGCTGGTGAGGAGGGCAGAGGGGAGCTCGGGGCAGGCTGGAGCGGGCCTGGATTACGGAGGGAGATGTTTGGGATGACCTGAGCACGGCATCAAAAGCAGGAACATTTTGACATACTAGCTGTTCTCGGGTTCAGCGCAGACCCAGGGGGCCTTGTGGTGGAAGGCCTCCCCCCACTCCTGCTTTGCACAGGACACTGGGGGAACAACAGGGCCTGGGGTGTGCAGAGGAAACTGGCTGGTGTGAATGGAAGTGAGTCAGGGTGCGTGTGAGTCATGGCTGGCAGGTGGAGACATGCTACTGTCCCTCCATAGGTGTTTGTCAGGCAGTGGTGGGGCCCGGGCTGTAAGAGCCCTTGCCCTGGGAGTACACGGGCGGGGTGGGGAGAGGACCACGGGACAGTCAGGAGAAGGAGGTTCTGGCTGGCCCAGGAGGGAGGCAGGGCCCTCGGAGAACTCCCCAGAGGAAGTGGGATGTTCTCCTGATTCTTTCCCTTCCCCATCAGCTTATTACCAACAAGCTCTGGTCCAAGCCCATCTTGAAGTTGAATGCAAACGTCTTAATATATCTCAGGTAGTGCACCTTTCTATGCATAAGACAATTTAAAGAAATACTTCCAGATACCCTAAGACAGCTTTAACACAACACCAAAACCCACCACCATGGAATCGCTTCTCACTCATAATAGGATGTTTGAGGCTACCAATCTTTACAGGAGCAGACAACCTCAACTTTTCACTTGCAGAACCTCGGGTGGGTTTGAACCCCTGACTTTTCAGTCAGCAGTCCAGCGCTCACCCCAGCTGTGCTGCCGGGGCTCCTGTTTAACATCATGGTGCAGCACTACTAATAATACTGCTTCGTTGCAAAGTAGTCTCCTTTTGTTATCATGCACTGTTGTACTCACCTCGAGTTTTTATGATGGTTTTGTAACCCGGGGACTGCCTGTCCCTGGAGGAGGGGTGTAAGTGGGCCTTGAAAAGATGCTCCAGGGGCAGAGTGCTGGCCTGGGGGTACTGGCCAGCTGGCTTGAGTAAGGTGCTATGGAGGTGGGAAGAGGTACTGACACTGAGGTGCCGGGAACCAAGACAGGGCTGGCTCAGCCCTGACAGCAGAGGTTGCAGGGAACCGCACATGGAGGGCTCGGGTCTGGACAAGAGTAAAAGCACCCTCCCTGGAAGTCAGCCTGTGGGGGACTGGGGAGGGAGAGAGGCTGTGCTGTGGAGCCGTTACAGGAGTTGAGGGTCATCTAAGAAGTGGGGAGCAGTCTCTGTCGTAGAGGGGGTCCCACATCCTACGGATGGCATGGGGGAGGGACACGATAAGGCCAAGATGAGATGTCTTCTGGAGTGTGTGTGTGTGTGTGTGTGTCTCATGCCTGAACGCATTCCCCCCTCCTCCCCTCACCCCCTCCATCGCATGGTTCTCTGGCTGTCTTTGGCCCCCTGGGCCTGGCCTGGTGGCTGGCCCGGGTCTCAGCCTTGGTACTTCACCCGACACGCTCTCTCACTTGGGGAGTTGGGGGAGGGCTGGATGCTTTCCTAGGGACCCCTTCTGGGGAGCCTGGTGGGCTTGGGTCTGCTGGCTGGGGCGTTCTGGGAAGGCCAGGGTCAAGCATCTCCTCTGAGCTCTGTGCCCAGTGTGAGTGCCTCACGGCTGGCACAGCCCAGCTGCGGAAGGGTGGGGACGCCAGCCATGCCACCTGGGCCCGAGGCAGCCCCGAGCCCTGCTCCATCTCCAGGAGTTTCTCTCTCTCGGCAGGAGCCTGAGCCTGCAGGAGAGCCCCAGGCCCCTGCCCCTTTCCGGTTAGGGGCTCTCCCTCCGGAGGGTAGCCCTGATGGTCCAGACTTTGTGGGTTTTCTCTGGTGGTGGTTGGGGCTCCAGGGTACCTGAAATGTGACACGGACGATGTCTCTGAAGCCCGTGGGGAGAGCCTGGGGGACGATGCCGGCGACACGGTCAACTCCTCCATCGTGTCTGGCGAGAGCATCCGTTTTTTTGTCAACGTCAACCTGGACATGCAGCCCTCCCAGGCTGGTATGGGAATGCCGTGGGGGTGGGGGGCTGAGGGCCAGGTGGGGTGGGACCTTGAACGCTCTCCCCCCATTCTCTTCAGCTGAAAATGAAGCCTCTGGTGGCTGCGTGCTCCTGCACATCTCCCGAAAGGTGAGGGCCTCTTGGGCAGAGAGCTGGTCCTGGGGGTGGAGGAAGCGGCCCTTCCCCTCCGCCCTTGCCTCCCTGATGGGTGTCTGCAGAGGGCTTTCAGGCCCAGCTGAGGCTACATGGTGGGGGTATCCTCACTGGATTTCCTCTCCTCAAAGGAGTGGAGAGAGCAATGGGTTCTGGTGGGCAAGGGTAGCCAAGGGCCACCAGGGAGGAGCTGGGGCAGCATTGGAAGATCTCCCTCTCACCGGCCGGTGTGATTCTGTGCCCGTGGTCCCCGCAGTACCTGAAGTTAAAGAACTTTGAGGAGGAGATCCGCGCGCACCGAGACATCGATGGCTTCCTGGCCCAGGCCAGCATCATCCTGAATGAGCCGGCTACCTCCCTGGACGACGTGCTGCGGGCCATGCTGCGCCGATTCACCCAAGACCCCAACCACGCCGAGCCTGGCTGCGACTTAGACCTGTTCATGACCTTACTCTTCACAGACGCTGGAGCCCCCCTGGAGGGTAATGGTAAGGCCTGTCCACTCCCTGGACTGGGGGGAGCTGGTCAGGGCAGCAAGGCGGACCGGCCAACTCACTGACCTCCCTACCCCTCCGCTGTATCTGTGTCCAGTCCACCTGTTGTCAGACACCATCCAGGGGGTGACCGCCACGGTCACAGGGGTGCAGTACCAGCAGTCGTGGCTCTGCATCATGTGAGTAGTCAGACCACAGCTGGTGACGTGTCATGTTGGGGCCTCCAGATGCCGGCCTGCCCACCCTGGGCTGTTCACTCATGTTTGGGAGATGGGGAAAGGGGAGAGGGCTCTGGGCACTTGATCCTACCTCCCTTCCTTCCCCTTCCCCTCCCACTGAAGTCACCAGGGGTCAAGGTCAGGGGCTCCATGGGGGGAGGCCCAGCACCCAGAGTGGCAGCTGTGTTTCCTGTGCCCTCCCTGGCCCCGGCAGCTGTACCGTCAAGGCCCTGCAGAAACGGCACGTGTGCATCAGCCGTCTGGTTCGCCCCCAGAACTGGGGGGAGAATTCCTGTGAGGTGCGCTTTGTCATACTGGTGCTGGCCCCGCCCAAGATGGTGAGTTGGGGCTCTGAGGCAGGTTCCGTTCCTGGGGGGGTGGGTTCCAGGTCACCCTGCCCACTCGGTGTGGACACCGTTCCCCTGTGCTGACCACCCAGCCGTCCTGGTCTCATCCTCAGCCCGGCCCTTCCTCTCTGCACTCCCACGTCCTTGTCAGGGGCTACGCATGTCGTTACCCAACCCAGAAGGGGCGGGTTGTTTTCCTCAACTGCAAACCAGAACCCACCACTTTAATTAGCCAGTCAGAGTGGCCTCTCTTGACCCTAATCTTTCTCCTGGTCACCCTGCTGGGTTGTTGGCTGGCCAGGAAACCCCCGCTGCATCCTGCCCTGCACACAGCCCTGCTGCGGGGGAGTGTCGGCTCTTGTGGGGCCCGTAGCTGGCACAATCTGGAGAGTTTTTCTAAGGAAAAGAACTCTATAAAAGAACATTTTTAAGTGAATTAGGTGAACGCTTACAGAGCAGAGCATAATTTTCCACTCAACAATCCACGCACGTTCCGATTCAGCGTCTCGGTGGCAGGCCCTCAGCCTACCGTCACTTCGCCCACTTCCTCCTGTGCCTCTGTTTCCATTCCTCCTCCTCCTCTCCCAGTCCTCCGAACCTTGACCTTGGGTGAACGCTGCCCTTTTGGTCGCAGATGATTATTCCAACGTGTTCCCCCGGCTGAGTTCCATTCCAGGCCAGGGCGAGACTCTTAGTAGTCCCTCCAGTCAACATCCGACCAATAAGCTTCATCGCTTACGATTTTGAGTTTTGTTCCAAGTTTTTCCTCCAATCCATCCTGGATCTTCTAATGGGATCCTTTTCAAAAGAGTCAGCAGTGGTAGCCGGGCACCGCCTAGCTCTGCTCGCCTCGCGGTGTGGAAACTAAGGTTTGCATGGCCCTTGAGTCCATTGGACACATTGCTTTAAGGGAAAGAGCTTTAATAATCCTGGAGGCTTCAGCTTCCAATGGCTTCTGAATGTGTCTACGCCTGCCTCTGGTCCAGAACCACAGCTCCGTATGCGCACGTCCCTTGGGCTTTTTCCTCAGAAAGAACTTGCTGAGGTAATGTCTCTCCCAACGAACTTCTTTTTTCTAGCTGCGTTTGTAGTTCACTGCCACTTACTGAATTTATGAAGAAGCTCCAGAAAGCGTGTGGGGAAATACCATTATCTTTTAATTCCATCTCCCCCCACAAACCTTTTGAAGCCTCCTTGTATATATTTTTGTAATCAGCATTATAATCAAAGTGCAGAATTTTCCATCACAAGATCTCAACAGGCTCCCCTCTGTATAGCCACGCCCAGTCTCCTCTTCCCACCCCCACCCCTGAACCCCTGAATCCCTGGCAATGACTCAGCTATTTCCCATCTATGCAATTCTGTCCATTGGAGAACATTTTACAAATAGAATTCCCTACCATGTGACTTTTAGCGAGTGGCTTGTTTTCCCTCGGCATCATGTCTCTGAGGTCCATTCAGGTTATTCCGTGCGTCCGTCTGTTCCTGCCTGTAAATCGCTGCTGGGGGCTCGTTGTACAGAACACTGCAGTGTAACCATTCGCCTGCTGGTTCCCAGTTCAGGGCTGTTCCAGCACAGCTGCTGCCAACCCTCGGGTGCCGCGGTTTGCACCGGCATGCGTGACCATGTCTCTGGGAGAGGGGCCGGGTGTAAGGTTACTGGGCAGCAGGTTCCATGTCTGTGCAGTCTTGGTAAGCGGTTCTCCAGGTGGGCTTACATTCCACCAGCAGTGTGTACGTGGGAAGCTTTCTTCACTTCCTCGCTGCCATGTGGTGCCGTGTTGTCACTGCTTTATGTTTTAGCCATTCTGATAGGTGTCCAGTGATCTCTCAGCTGGCTTTTCATTTGGGTTTACCTGATGGCTGATGTGAAGAGCCTTGGGGTAGCAGGTGACACGTTGGGCTGCTAACCACAGGGTCAGCAGTTGGACTCACCAGCCACCCTCTCTGTGGGACGAGGCTTTCTGCTCCCTTACAGAGTCACAGACTGGGAAATGCACAGGGGCAGGTCCACCTGTCCTACAGGTCCCCGTGAGCCAGAAGCACCTAGGCGACAGGGCTTGCTTTGGTTTGAATGAGGGAAAGCGAATGTTCGTGTGCCTAAATGCCATCGGTTCACCTTGTTGGGTGAGATGTCTCTTCGTGTCTTTTGTCCATTTTCTCACTGGGTTTTGATGTGGAGTTTTCCGTTGTTCCGGATTCCAGTACTTTGTCAGATAATGTGGTTTGCAAATAGGCCTTTCCAGACTGTCGCCTGGCTTTTTCATTTCAAAGAACAATAGTTTTAAATTTACAGACAAACTGAAACAAAAGAACGGAGTTCCCCTGTGTCCTGCGCCCATTCTTCCTTGTTATTCACACCTCTCTTTGTTTTGACACGTTGTTTACCGTCATGAAGCAAGGTACGGGCCATCATCACTGACTGCAGCCCGGTCCCTTTCTGTCCTGGGCATCCACGCGGGCGCCGGCACCACACGTAGCAGCTGTGTCTCCATAGGCTCATGTTGGCTGTGGCCGCGTCCCACACTGTCCTTATGTCTGCTGACCCTGACAGTGGGGGAGAGTATGGGTCAAGGGGCTTGTGGGATGCCTACTCCTGAAATCTGTCTGGTGCCTTCCTGATAAAGCCCAGGTTCTGGGCTTGGGCGAGAAAGACACAGGTGAAAGCATCCCTTCCGTTCCATCCTGTCAAGGAGATCTGTACAATTAACACGATCGAACGGCTATGGATGCTGACCTTGCCCACCTGGCCGAGTATCGCTAATCAGGTTTTCTCACTGAAAAGTTTCTGCCCCACACACACCCCACACACACACACACACACACCACCACCATACCATCGGTAAAGTCCTCTGCTGTGCATCCTCTAAGGAGTCCTGCTCTTTTTCCTTGTGAGAGCAGCTTCTCCATGACTGGTAGGAATGCTTCTGCATCTTCCGGAGGGCTTTGTAGGCTCGCTGTGGACCTCCCCATGGTTCAAGAGGAGGCACGCTTTGTATAAGTGGCAACTTGTGGTCAGAGAGGGTGGCAGAATGGTGGAAGGTGGCGCCATCTGTGGGAGTCTTGGGACTGGTCACCCAGCCCCTGACTCCTGACTCCTCCTTGGGAACGGAGGCTGTTGGGAAGATGACAGGCAAACAGAGAGAACTGGTCCCTCCAGGACTATGGCATTAAGTCCACAAAGGGATGGACACTGGCAACGCTAGACAAGTGGCCTTGCAGAGGCAGAAGGACAGGCGACTTGCCCTGCAGGCGGGGAGACGGTCCACTGACTGCTTTAGAGTAGAGTCCAATTTGTGGGACCCTGAGGGTGAGAGTGGAGCTGCTCCCTGGGGTTTCTTGGCTGTCATTCTGCAAGCCCACTGCCATCGACTCAGTGCCGACTCTCAGCGGTCTGATGTGAGGTTTCTGAGATGGTAAATCTTCACAGGAGGAGCCAGCCCCATCTCTCTCCTCTGGATCTCAGCTGGTGGGCCGTTAGCCACACAGCACCACCAGGGCTGCCATCTTTAGGGGCAGTAAACTACCAGACCTTTCTGCAGCAGCATCAGTGAGCGTGTTTGGACTGTGAACCTTGCGGTCAGTTAGTAGTCACGGACAACATCCAGGAACCTGGATGGGCCTGCCCCCTCCGGGAATCGGGTACAGGAGCCGAGTGCGGTAACACTGGCAAAACGCAGGTGTCATGATTATACGGTTTTTGTTGCTTCGGAAGTGACTCATCCCTGAGTTTTTATAGAGAAAAAGATGGGCTCCGTTGCCGTGGTGTCCAGCTGATGCGGTGGGCCTTGTGGGAGCCGAAGGAGCTTGCTGCCCTGCTGGGGGTGCTGGCCACATGCTGAGGGCCTCCAGGACCAGGCATCCTCGCTTCATAGGACACCTTGTCCTGCTTCTCACCCCTCCCCAGAAAAGCACCAAGACGGCCACGGAGGTGGGTCGCACGTTTGCCACCATGTTCTCGGACATCACCTTCCGCCAGAAACTCCTGGAGACCCGCACGGTAGAGGAGTTCAAAGAGGCCCTGGTGCACCAGAGATACCTGCTCACCATGGTGAGCCAGCATCGGCACAAGTCCCTGCCGGTGAACTGCAGCACACACTCCGTAGGCCACAAGCTCCTGAAGGTGCGGGGTGGGGCTGGAGGGGGCGGAGGGCAGGGCAGCCTGGCTGGGTCAGGGGCGTGGCCGGGCAGGCCTCCCATCACTCTGTCCTTCCCCCCTCCCCAGCGCCAGGACTTCCTCGCTGTAGGGAAAGGCATCCGGGATGACATCGCGCGGCGGTTCCCTGTGTATGCCCTGGACTTTACTGATGGTATGTGGGTCCGTGGTCTGGGCTCCCACCCAAACTTGGGCTTTTCACACCTGCAGACCACAGGGCTGGGCTGGCTAGCACCTGCGACAAGCCCCCTGTGCTGCCCTCCCCACCTCCCTAGGCATAATCGGGAACCACAAAGCCATAGGCAAGTACATCACCACCACCATGTTCCTCTACTTCGCTTGCCTTCTGCCCACGATTGCCTTTGGCTCCCTTAACGATGAGAACACCAAAGGCGCCATTGGTGAGGGGGCCAGGGGCTGGAGGGTGGGTGGGTGGGTGGGTGGTCCCAGGCCAGCAGTGCCAGCCTGATGTTCCTTCACCCACAGACGTGCAGAAGACCATGGCTGGGCAGAGCATCGGGAGCCTCCTGTACGCCCTCTTCTCTGGGCAGCCGCTGGTGGTGCTGCTGACCACTGCCCCCCTGGCCCTCTACATCCACGGTGCGACGGGAACCAAGACGGGCTGGGTGCTCAGTGTCCCTGGCCCAGCCCCCTGACCCCACCCCTGCCCGCTGCCTGCAGTGATCCAGGGTATCTGTGAGGACTACCAGCTGGACTTCAAAGCCTTTTACGCCTGGACGGGCCTTTGGAACAGTTTCTTCCTTGCGCTCTATGCCTTCTTCAACCTCAGTCTGGTCATGAAACTCTTCAAGAGGTGATGGTGGGGCCTGCTCTGGGTTGCGAGAACCTTCCAGTGGGAGGGAGAACAAGGCTGGGGGACCTACTGGTCAGCCTCGCGACTAGACTAGAGTGGAGTGGATGGCAAGCCTGGGACCCTAGTATGTGCTGCTCCTGGAACCCCCCCATCTCAGCAGGCCCTGCCTGCCCACAGGTCCACAGAGGAAATCATCGCCTTGTTCATCTCCATCACGTTTGTGCTGGACGCTGTCAAGGGCATGGTCAAAAGTGAGTGCCCGTGAGTGTGTGGCTGTGCACATGGGGACAGGCCGGCAGAGGAGAGGGAAGTGAGTCTGCAACAGGCAGCTCCACGCGTACTGAGCCCCACCTGCTGTGGGGATGGAGCCGAGGGCCCTCTTCTGGTCAAGAGGGGCTGTGGCTAGGCAGAGTAGTGGGCCTGTGTTCTGGAGGGTGCTAGCAGCTCCAGGCGGGAGCAGGGCTGGGAGAGGTGTGCTGGGCAGGGCAGCTGGAACAGGAAGAATGGCAACATGGGGGAATGGCGGGTTGAAGGAGCAGATAAGTGGGGCTCAGGCCAACAGCTAGCGCCACCTCCCACTCCTTTCCCTGCCTCTGTGCACACTCGGGGCCATGCATGTGTCTGCCCCCTGCCCTGCCCCTCACCCACGTCTCAATTCAAGTCCCCGCGCCCTCCCCAAGAGCCTCCCATCAATCCCCAGAACTCCTATCCTCCTCCCTCCAGGACCCATCTCCTTCCCCTCGGGGCCCCCACCCTCCCCACGGGGCCCCCCCACAACCTGGAGGAAGCTGGGCCCCAACCTCCCAGAACCCACATGGCTGAGGAGGCCCGTGCCCCCAGTCTTCAGGAAGTACTACTACAGCCACCCACCTGGTGACCACTCTCCAATGATGACGGCGTCCCTGGTGAACCTGCTGAGCTTCAACGGCAGCCTGACCGCGGAGCTCAACACCAGCCTCCTGGCCGAAGCACCGTCGCTGACAGCGGAGGGCAGCCACGTGCACGGAGGCCGGGACACGGCCGTGCTCAGCCTGCTCATCATGCTGGGCACCCTCTGGCTGGGCTACACCCTCTACCAGTTCAAGAGGCGGTGAGGGCAGTGGGCCCAGGCTAGTGGGCGGGGCCGGCCGCCCCACAGCCGGCAGCTGACCCCTCCCTCCGCCTTCAGCCCCTACCTGCACCCCTACGTGCGCGAGATCCTGTCGGACCTGGCCCTGCCCATTGCGGTCCTCACCTTCTCCCTCATCAGCTCCTACAGCTTCCAGGAGATAAAGAGTGAGTGAGGGGGCGACGAGGGGGAGGGGAGGGTGACTGGGGGCCCGCGGGGGGCGGGGGCCAGCAGCACTGAGCAGGAGGCGGTGCCCTGCCGCAGTGAGCAAGTTCCGCTACAACACCAGCGAGAATCTGTTTGAGATGGCCCGGATGGACCTGCTGTCCCTGGGAGCCGTCAGCAGCGCCATGGGCCTCGGCTTCCTGCTGTCCATGCTCTTCTTCATCGAGCAGAACCTGGTGGCGGCCTTGGCGAACTCGCCGGAGAACAGGTACCCCGTCAGCGTTGGGGTGCGCGCGTGCGTGCATGCGGGAAGGGGAGGAGGGCCCAGCAGGGCTGGACCCAGCCGGGTTCGTCTGCCTCAGGCTGGTGAAGGGCACCGCCTACCACTGGGACCTGCTGCTCATCGCTCTCATCAACACGGGGCTCTCGCTCTTCGGGCTGCCCTGGATCCACGCCGCCTACCCCCACTCCCCGCTGCATGTGCGCGCCCTGGCCTTCGTGGAGGAACGCGTGGAGCACGGGCACATCTGTGAGACGTGAGTGCATGGCATGGCGGGGAGCACCTGGGCACGGAGCACCTCGGGGCCTCAACCCAGACGTGACCCGCTGTCTGGGGGGCCACCCACGCAGGATTGTGAGCGTGAAGGAGACGCGGTTGACCTCTCTGGGCGCCAGCATCCTGGTGGGCCTCTCGCTGCTGCTGCTGCCCTTCCCGCTGCAGTGGATCCCCAAGCCTGTGCTCTACGGCCTCTTCCTCTACATCGCCCTCACCTCCATCGACTGCAACCAGCTCTTCGAGCGCGTGGCCCTGCTGCTCAAAGAGCAGGTAGGGTCCGGGCTGGGAGCCAGGCCGGGCATGGGCTCCTAGCCCCAGGCCTCACCACATCTGCCCCTGCCACCCTCAGACAGCCTACCCGCCCACGCACTACATCCGGAGAGTGCCCCAGAGGAAGATCCACTACTTCACAGGCCTGCAGGTCCTGCAGCTGCTGCTGCTCTGTGTCTTCGGCATGAGCCCCCTGCCCTACATGAAGATGATATTTCCCCTCATCATGATTGTCATGATCCCCATCCGGTATGGGCGGGCCCTATGGGTGGGGGAATGGCAGGATGGGCGAGGGCGGGCCTAAAGCAGCTGGTCCTACCCCAGCCTGTGGGTGGGAGGGTGCAGTGGGCAGGAGCCCAGCCTAGCGTGAGCATCAGATGGGCTATGGAGAGGGGTGGATACCTTCTTTGCCCACCCTGTGCTCATTGCTCCGGCCCCTCTCCCCATCCAGCTACAACCTGCTCCCCCGAATCATTGAAGCCAAATACCTGGACGCTATGGATGCCGAGCACTGAGGCAGCGACTGGCAGGCTCTGGCCATGCCCCTTTGCCCATCCCTCCCTCTTCGCCCAGTCCGGCTCTGTGGGGAGGTGCGGGTGTCTCGGTGTTGCTCTGCGCTGCACCCTCACCCAGCTGCTCGGCAGGCCTGGATCGTCTGGGCAGGGTGAGCGTCACTGGTGTGTGCCCACCCTCCCCACCCCCCATCCCATTAACCTTTAGGTTTGGGTCACTGCTCAGGGCAGCTTCCGCCAAGGTGGGACTTAAGCAGGACAGGTTTTCTTTTGATAAAAGAGTCCGTGCCTGAAAGAGAAACCGTTTCCTTGATTGTGTAAGGAACTTGCTGAACGCACATGAGAATAAAGCTCCTGTTTCTATGCCTTGCTGTGCTGCCTCCGTCCCTGCTGCCTCGCCCCAGCCCTGAGGGAAGGGAGACGGATGAAAGGGGCCTTCGGTGCTGAGTGCCACGGAAAGCGGTCGCCGTCCGTCCTCATGGTTGGTGTGCAGTGACTGGGGAACCAAGCGGCTTTTGCACTGCTGTGTGATGGGAGGTGCGGGAACTGACCCTGCGCTTAGAGGGCTTGGGCTCAGGCTCAGGCATGGGGAGTCCTGGCTGCTAGCAAGTGGGGCACATGGCAGGTGGGGGGGGGGGGCCGATCTGAGCTGCCCATGATGGACCCTGTGACTCCCGTCAGATCAGGCTGCTGAGGAGCCACCTGGGGGACTGAAAACAGGCAGAGTCAGAGCAGACATTTTGAACTGTGTGGATTCTGTATACTACATGGGCAGGGCATGCCAGGAGCAGGGCCAAAGTGTGCCAATGAGGATAGAAAGCAGCGGAAGGATTCCAGTTGGCAGGGCGTGGGGACTGCCGAAGGGGAAAGGGGGCCATGTTTGCGCCTGGCTTGGGCATTTGTTGACTGGCAAGGGGCCAGTTAGGAGCATGGGGCTGGGGCTCTGAGGAGTGTCCTCTGTACATATTTGGGGACAGCAGTGGAAGCAGAAGCTTCTGGCTGGACCAAGGTTGCAGACTGGGGTGAGACACCTACTACATCTCAAACTGAAGCGGGCAGACTGACCAAGCACTTCACAGAAGCGGGTGTCCAAGGGTGTAGCCGGAGTGGTGAGAGGCTACATCAAACTCCTAGTCAGACACGCAAGCCCCAGCCGCAGCCACCGGACCCTTGGGAGACTGACAAGAATAGGAGGGCTGTTGGGCAGCGCAGGGCAGTGGGAGACCAGGAACCTGTGTGCATGGATTGGGAAAGGAGACGAGGCCCCTGCAGGCAACCACCCCCTTCAAACAAGCCATTCTGCCTGCCCCTGGGCAGGTGGGGTGAATACAAGGGTGTGCCCCTATAGGAGGGTAATCAGGGCAGAACCAGCGAAGAAACCAAAAACTCAGAGGGGTGGGGGTTCTTCCTACCCCATCACACACCCTTTCAGCATGTGGTTCTTCAGGGCCCCTCCCTGCAGATCTGGAATCTGAAGCAGACAGGCCCCCAAATTGAGCCCCTGCAGGAAAGCACCAGAGGAGGCTGGGCCCTGGTGCCTCCTGAGCAAACGGCCCAGCAGGGCTTCACAGTGAGGACAAGCGAAGTGTTCCTTTGCTGCCCTGGGCTGCAGCATCCATGCAATTGGAGGATCCAGTCCTCACAGCTGTGCACCTCCATCCCAGTGTTGACCTGAAGCCTCCAGGCAGCCTGGGAGGTACCATGCCCCCAGCCTCCAAGGGCAGGGATCTGTGGAACACAGTGGGCTTTTCTGTGGGCACCTCACCAGCAGGGGAAGCAAGAGATCACCATGGGCCCTCCCCCTGCCCAGCGAAGGGCTTCTCACAAAGGCATCGAGGGTCTGGGCACCTACACTGGCCTAGTGAGGGGCCTGTAGCCCTTTTGGCTCAAGCATGGCTTGTCAGCCCAACTAAGGCCAAGGACTCATTCCCCATCGCCACCACACACAGCCATAAAACATGTGACAGAGGCTCAACAAGCCATGGCTTCCACTGTCCTTGAAACAGTAAAACCACACTGCCCCACGCCCACCCCACCAAGCCAAGACCACGAAGGCCAGCCAGGAGCTAGTGCCATCTGACTGGTGAGTGGACAGACCTGGCATGGGATTGAAGAATGAAAGAAAAGGCTACAGGCAGAGATGTACACCACCACCCCCAGGTTTCCAGGGGCGCATAAGCACCCTCAGTCTAGTGCTGCCTCCTGCTCCCTGCCAAAGCGAGGCAGGCATCGACCTCACGATAGATTTCAAAAAGTGAGTCTACTTTATTTCAGAAGCACGTACCTTCCCTTTAAAAAAATTTTTATTTGCTCCCTTGAAAAATTCCTAAAGTCACTGCAAGCTTCTCCCCCACACCCCAAATCCTGCCAAGGTCGGTATGAACATCCAAAGTCTTTTCGGGGTGTGAGGCGTGATGGCTGCCTCATGGATGGTGATGGATGGTGAAGTCATCCATCCAGGAGCGAGAATGGCGTCCCTCGTCCCAGGTTTCTCTAAGCAGTGCCTGTTGCTTCCGCCAGGGCCCGGTGAAGCTGCCTCCCACGCGGGGAGCTCAGAGCAGTGTCTGCTGAGGAGAGCTCTCGGCCTAGCCCTCCCCAGATTCCCTGCCCGGCTGGCCCCCTCCGGCCCTCTGGGGAGGCAGGCTGCAAAAGTACTTCTGCAGTTCAAACAGGGCCCGGAAGCGGTGGGAGATGGCGTTCTTCTCAGCCTTGGGCATCTCGGCGTACCTAAAAGGGAGACAAGCCACAGCTCTGGGGGACGCCTCCCAGACACCCCCAGCTGAGCCCAAAGTGCAAGGAGCGCCGGGAGGGCAGCAGCTTAAACAGGTAGGATTTTAGCTCCTGTGTCAAGCAGACCCCCATATTAACAAGAGCTGGGGGACCTTAATTAAACTAGCGCTTCTGTTTTCAAAAGGGAAGCTGGGGACAAGGGAGAGCTGCGTGTTTGGTCAGCTTTGTCATTTGTTGACAGGAAGCAGCAGGGCCTGACGGAGCAAAGGCAGCTGCCTCCTCTGGTGCGTGGAGGTAGGGGGTCCAGGCAGCAGGCCAGCGGCCATCCTCTCTCCAGGCCAGAGCCCCAGAGAGTTGAGGTGCCCTGTGCCCTTCTCATCTGCACTGGCCAGTCCACCAGCCACTAGCAATAGGAAGCTATTTCATTTAGACCGGTGGTTCTCAACCTGTGGGTCGCAACCCCTTGGGGAGTCAAACGACCCTTTCACAGGGGTTGCCCGATTCATAACAGTAGCAAAATTACTTATGAAGTAGCAACGAAAATAATTTTATGGTGGGGGGTTCACCACAACATGAGGAACTATATTAAAGGGCCGCGGCATGAGGAAGGTTGAGAACCACCGATTTAGACAGAATCGACTCCGTTCCTCAGTTACAGGGACCACCGCCCAAGTGTGCCCGTGACTAGGGCAGACGTAAAACCCGTCCCCAGAGGGCCTTCTCCAGGGTGGCGCTGCCTCCTTCAGAGCCGCCTCTGGCATAATTAAAGGGTGGTTAGCATGACACCCCGAAGGCTGGTGCGGTGGGTTAAGCATCAGGCTAAGAGTCCACAGGAGGAAGAAGAAAGGTTTGCAGCCTGGGAAACCCGAGGGAGCAGTTCTTATACTGTCTGCCAGGGTCCCCGAGTCAGAATCGACTTGCTAGCAGTGGACTGAGTTAAATACTGAGAACACTCGCCCAGGGTGGGGATGTGGATACTCAACAAAGGCTGAAAAAGTGCTAACATGGGGCCATATATTTCTGGTGGCAAAGCCGGGAAATCACCCCCCAAACTGCCTGGCTTATCCCTAACTCACTCAGGCCAGTGGGAGACGCCCCTGAGGTGAGATTCTGGGTCATCAGGCTGTTCTGGAGTCAGGGAGCTGGCTCCACTGGCTGCCTCCCTACCCCCACCCCCACCCGTGACCGGGCCACCTGGATTCCTCGTGTCCACCCCAGCAGAGCCTCCTTCAGTTGAACGACACCCTCAGCACCTGCCCCACCCATGTCTGCATGCTTGCACATGGCAAGGTGCCGACCCAGCCCAGCTGCCGGAGCCCTCAGCCAAAGGAAGGCTCTGGGTTGCCTTACGTCTGCTTGTATTCGTCGGGCTGGAAGCAGGGATCCCAGCCAAAGTCCCGGCAGCCTCGGGGTGCCACGATCTGGCCCTGCCATGGGAAAGGGGGACAGCAGGAGGGTAACTGAGCGAGGAAGAGGTGCGCCAAGAGGGCGGCGGGTAGCTGTGTGTGGATTCGGTTAAGCTCTATTCACTCAAAATGCACGCGGTGACTTCCAAAAGCTCATGGGGGAAAAACGGAATGGAGAGAGAATGGAATTTTTCCATGAACTTTCTAAAACCTCGAAAGGATGTGATGGATCTTTGGGTGCCTGCAAATGTTTGCTGAAGGCGGAAAGAGTGCTCCCCTCACACTCTGGGAGGGGCCACATCTCTGATAGGTGCGCCGGCTGCCCGGGGCCCACCCTCTCGTTTGACGTTTAATAAGCTGTGACCTCGTTGAAGAACTCAAAAGCTGAAATTATACACGTGCTCCTACCACGAGGGAGGGGCTCTGGGCATGGGAGGCAAGTCCTCTGCCTGATAGGATGAAAGCACCCCCAGCCCAGCGAGGCGCAGAGGCATGAAAAGGGGGGCCCTCCACAGGAGCTCAGTGAAACGCAGGGCCTCGCTAGGCAGGCCCTTGGTGGAACAGGCCCACCCCAGTTGGAAATGCCCCTGGGGGGACAACGGTAGTCTGGGTCATGAAATGTCACAGGGCCATGAAAGTAAACACGTATGTTTTCATCGAACTTGGAAGGGGGAAAGGACAGGGGTTGGTCAAAGAAATCCATCGGGACCACATTGCAAACTCAGCTGTTAGCAGGGAGCTGTGTGACCAAGGAGACCCCAAACCTCTCTGAACCTCGCCTGTGTAACATGTGTTTTCAGAGGGAGTCCCCAGAAGTAAATGAAAGGCCATTGACGAGCGCAAAGTGCCTTAAGAACAGGGCCCTCCGTCCCAGAAGAGCAGGAGGGGCTGACTGAGGTGGGCAGGACACGTGGCCACATCAAGTGCCAAGGCAGGAACATTCCAGGTGAGGACACAGCGGTGCCAGGGTCTGCGGTGGGGAGGGGCCGGCCTATCTACGTGGCAGACAGGACAGTGCAGTGGGGGCTGAGAGCGCACAGGAGAGCCGGCATGGTGACTGCAGACACAGCGGGGAACAGCAGGGATGGGGGGTCACAGTGACAGGGCCGCTGCTACTCAGTCAGTGTGCAGGAAGCAGGGCTTTTGGGTGTTTGAACTGATTTTACAGAAGTGGACTCTTCTGTGAGAGAAACAGACAACTATCACATCTGTATGCAAATAGCACATGGGGCGTGCAAAGTGTGCAACCCTTGGGCATCGTACACACATTTCAAAAACGTGGCCTGGCAAGGCAAAGTGAAACATGAGTGGAGCAGCTATGATCTGACACTGACAGGGCAGGAAGCCAGGGCTGGGTCTGACCAGTGGTCTGCCACTGGGAGAGAATGGATGGGGTGTGGGCTAGAGAGCTGGGAGGATGGCCTAGCCCATGGGTGGGGGGTGTCCGGCCTGAGGAGGACGTTACTGCCATCAAGTCAATTGACTCATGGTGACCCTATAGGACACAGAACTGCCCCTGTGGGTTTGCAAGACTGCAACTCTTTACAGGAGTAGAAAATCTCATCTTTCCCCCACGGAGTGGCGGGTGATTTCCAACTGCTGTCCTTGAGGTTGGCGGCCCAACATGTAAATAATATGCCAAGCAGGGCTCCCTATTAGGTCAGTGAAAGCAATGCCACTAACATCATGCGCCTCACCAAAAAGAAGCAGATCTGGCCATCACATTAGGGCTGAGTTCATCAAAGGTTCGACCTGTATGTGGCCTGTGAATGATGGTATAAATACCTACATGACCTTGGGCAGAGAAAAGGTTCCCCACCCCTGGTCCAGACCATAGATCCCCAAACTTACCTGGCCCACTAGCCCCTTTTCGGTTAAAAAAAAAAAAATCACTTAGTGCCCCTTGGCAACTGACAACGTCTGCATTACGGCCCATAATCCAGGAGAAAGCACCGAGAGCTGCTTTTCTAGCCCCCCTGGGCCGGGCCAGTACGCGTCCACAAGGGGTACTGTTGCCCATTTGAGAAGCATTGGTCTGTGAGAAACAGTGGGACCTACGGGATTAGTGTGAGGGCAAGGTGGGTGGGAGGAAGGGGAGCCTGTGAGGAGTATCAAAAAGCATCTAGGGAAGAGGTAGGCTGGGGACAAATTCAGATTCTACAGAACCTCAGGGGCCACGAAACCTCCCAGGAAGATGCAGCCTCGCAGGTGGCAGAGAGGGGAGTTGGAGACTTCCGGTAGATGGAGCTTTGGACAGTGTCACCATTATTAGTTTCCTCATCGGCCTCTTGGGGCAAAGCATGCTGGAGGCTCGGGGTATGTCAGCCCTCAACCACTGTTACCATAGTAACGGTCTCCAGAAATACCTGCTCTAGGGGTCTCACCTGGGTCATGACTCACAGCAAAGTCCTGGGATTGACTCTGGCCCTGAGGGCCCTTGTACCACCACCCTGAAGATGCTGGGGGGTCTGGTCCGAGGCCCAGCTCCTTCCGGTGACACGTGGGGGTAGCAGGGTTAGGTGGGTGGACACCGTGGTACTCACCGAGGTCCGGCCCCTGAACAGGAGCACGGGCTCACTGGGATCCCCGGTGCTGAGTGCGAATGTGCAGAGCGCATAGGCTGATTTGTCCTCAAACCCGGCCAGGAGCTGGTGGAGACCTGCAGGCAAAGCAGCGAGGGTTCAGCTCACAGTCTGTGTGGCCCAGCAATCCCTCCCCAATGGGTGAGCAGGGAGGCCCTCCGGCTAGAGGCTAAGCCCGGGCGGCAGCTTGGGCTCCAAGGTGAAGGCTTGACCTCAAACAAGCTCAGACAAGGCTTCTGTTAAATATCAGAACATCGGCCAAATGCCGTGGGAATCTGAACTCCAACTGGTATTATAAAGTGATTGATAAGCCAGAAGTCCGCCTGAAGTCTGTTCTGCATCATAGCAACCCGTGAGGCGCTCTGACCGGTGGGCGGGGCCGGACTGGAGGCGCACTGGGCAGGACCCAGGAACCAATCCCCGGCCCCCTGCACTGAAGACCGGAGTGCTCTCGCTGAACCACCACTGCCCTTACGGGGAAAGAGCCGAGACACTGAGCTGCTGGGGAAGGACACTGACTGAGGAGGGTAACAGATGTCACAAGCTGGGTTTAGTGCTGGGAGCGCTGGGTACTGACGACTGGGAATTGAATTTCTAGTCTCCTCCTGTGCACATCCACCACGCTGCTCGTCTGCCAGGCTGGTGCTGTGGTGGCTTGCGTGCTATTTCAAATACTGGCAGGGTCACCCACGGTGGACAGATTTCAGAGGGGCTTCCAGACAAAGAAGTGGGAAGAGACAAGTCGCTTCTGAAAACGTAGCCACTTGCAAACCTTTCTAAAGAGCAGCGGCACATTGTCTGATAAGGGAGACTGGGCGCTCAGCTGGGAGGCACTCCAGCTATGAGGACAGGAGGCTGCGACAGTCATGCACACATGGGACAACTGTGAGGGTGGCACAGACCCCGGCAGTCTTTTGTTGGGCTCTGCTCAGGGAAGGTCCCCAAGTCAGAGCCTACTCTATGGCACCGAACAACGGCCCCAGAGGACATCTTTGGAGCGATCTGTATTATGCAGTGCCTTTAAAAACACCCCAAAAAGAGTATCCTGGTATGTACTGCTGGGACCCAGGATGGGCAGTGCCCTTGTCCCAGGCTAGACCAGACCCTGGCTGAGGCAAAGGTAGACCAGTAGCCACTTGCGCCAAGGTCCTCTCTGACCAGAAATCAACTGTGAGGTCTCTGTCCTTCCAACTCACAGCCCCCTCCCTGACACTCCCACCCACTGCTTCCATGTCTAAGGCCCTTGGGAGGCAGATGTGCAGGAAGGTGTGAGCTTCGGGCCGCCTCAGACACAGACTGACGTGAAAGGGGCCCGTGGGTCCTCCGTCTACCAGCTGGGGTCCCTTCCCTCAACCATCGCCGCATTCCCAGTTTCCAATAGACCCACGGGAAGGGACAAGGGGGTGGGGTGTCATACCTTCAGGTTTTAACTTCTCCAGAAACCATTTTCTGCAAGAGAAATAAAGGAGGTGAGATACCAGAAGTATATGGGTGGGGGATGGGCCTGCCTCCTGTCAGCTTCCCTCGGCTTCTCGGGATTGCTCCTGGGGGATTCGTGCCCAACACAGCCAAGCGAAGTGACCAGATCGAAAATCAAAAGCAAAACAAGTGCTCACGAGGGGAATGGAAGTGGAGGTAAAACAGGCAATTCTTAGGAGAAAAGCTGATAAATCAAGTTCCAACTGCTCTCTCCCTGCTATCGGGTTGCTTCTGACACACAATGACTCTATAGTAAGGTGACCAGATGTCCCGCTTTTGGCGGGAGTCCTGATTTTTAACAATTTTCCCCGTCTCCTGCAGCATTTTTAAAAAGTCCCGGTTTTTTGGAAAGAATGCACGACAAGCTAGGGTATAGGGTTTTCAGCTGCCATGTGGCTATTTCGCCAGAATATGAATTTTATCAATGGTATTCCACTTTACCAATGTTAAAAGCTGGTCACCTTACACTATAGGGCAGGGCAGAACTGGCCTGTAGGTTTGGTCTCCAAGACTGTACACTTTATGGGAGTACACAGCCTCAGCTTTCTCCCACGGAGTGACTGGTGGTTGCTAAATGTGGACCTTGTGGTTAATGGCGCCAACGCATAACCATTCCACCTGCGTACGGGTAACTAGGGGAATGCAAATTGCTAAGTATAAAAAGGCCGTAGTACTAGTGCCCCCCAGGAGGTGGAGCAGCTGAGATTCCAGCTTCCCAGGGGATGGAGAAGCATGCCCAGCTGCCTGGAACACACTAGCCACCCAGAAGCCTCTTCTCTACCCAGCCGGCCCCCAGCACCAGCACTTCTGTGTGCTCCAAGAGGTTTCCGAGGGAAACATGCAATCTCCCTGCAGACCTTTTGAAGTCCCTCGTCTAACATCAGCCCCGTGCACGGATCTTCACATTAGAACATGTGTACTCTCTAGGTTCAGAAACGTCCTTCCAGCGGGCCCAGGGCACTGGAACACCCTAAGGAAATCCATCATCGGATTTGATCCTCCTCTTTCCTCGCTCCTGAAATGAATCTGCCCGTGAACGTGCCTCTCAGAGTCGTGGATCCCCTTACACACCCATGTTCACACGCTCCACAATAGCAAGGCCCGCCTCTCCGCCACCCCTAATCTTTCCTGGGACAAGGGCAAGCCGGAACACTGGCATTCATGCCAACACGGTGACCTGCATTATCAGTAATCAGTCCTTGGGTACAGTGCAGGTGGTTGTGTGGCTGGGGGCCCTGACAGGGGGGAAGGGGACACTCACATGTAGGGGCCAGGGAGCCCCCCGAGGGCATTGAAACACAGACAGGTATCCTCCACCAGCACGGGCCCCTGGACCTGCAGCACAAGGACAGGCACTGAGACACAGGGACACCACAGGCCCCATCTCTCCCTGAACTCACTGGCCACATGGGTGGAGAGCCAGGCCCCATGGCCAGTTGGGGTCTGTAGTAGCAGCAGATAGGAGGCCCATCAAGAGCCACAGGGAAGAGATGGGGACATCAACATCTTAGCAAGTTGTAAAGTCTGCTCCAGGCACAACCGTGGGAGAGCTGAGACACTCCCCCACTCCACCCCCAGCACCTGATTCTGTAGGAGGGTTCTTCCACAGAGCAGCAGGAGGGCAGGGGTAGTGTGTCTGGAGGGTTGGGGTAGAGGTATGTGGGGAAGGGAGGGGTAGAAGGGTGGGGGGAGCATACAGTGGATGGATGCGGGGGGACAAAGGTAGAAGTATGTGTGAGGGGCCAGGGCTGGAATGAGCATGTGTGTGAAAAGCTGTAGAGAAAGTGTGCATCTAGACTTGGGAGCAGGAGCAGGGGCAATGGTGTGTGGGCAAGGTTGGGAAAGGCAGGCGGGGTTTGAGGGCCAACCCTAACTGACCCCAGGTGAGCTGGGCCAGGGCAGGTCCTTGGGTCAGGCCTGCCCCGGGAGCCCCCGGCAGAGAGGGGAGAATGCAGGGCACGCACCTGGCGAGCCGCCTCCTTGCACTTCTGGATGGAAATCTCATCGGGCTCTCCTTGGTACTCGGGCACTTATCAGGGAAAGAAACACAGTCAGGTTACAGGGCTACGGAGAAACAGAACTCTCTCTCGTGTTTTTAGGGGGTGGTCTTTCCATGTCTTTCCAAGACAGGGAACAGGATCAGACTGAGCTGTCTCGTTATAGTGAGCCAGGCTCTTCTGATCTCCGGCAGGATGTCACCTGAGATACTACTGGAGGATCATTAACTCAAGATAATCGCCTCTTACACATCGCTTCTCGGCCTTTTGACTAAGATCAAGTGTAACAACCTCTGACATTTTTTTTTCACTAGGAAACTGACTAAAATCCAGCCCTTAAAGGCATATACCATAAAGAATATCTGATCTATGAGGCACAGAAAGCCCCCAGTTACAGGACTGCCAACCTCTCAGTGAACCAGATCAGGGCTGCGTGCGGACGGACCAAGGACGACACTGTTTCCATTGTGGGAACTTGCTCTGAGTTTTAAAAGTTGCTGTCAGTAAGCAAGTAACAAATATTAATCATCTTGATAGTTGATTTTTACCGGTCTAGTGTCCCACTAGATTAGTCGTGTCCCACAGAACACAAACTGAGAGAGAAGGGCGGGGGGGGACCTGGAGGGCTATTTCAAAATAAATGACTCCGCTTTGTTTTTGACGGACAGACTGTATCTTTCCATTTGCCACAAGAGCAAACCGACAGAGAGACTCTGAAAGAGGCACGTGCAGCTCTAGGGAGGGCGGCACCGGACGCTTCCACTGCAGCGGGAGCTCCTGCTTCTCCACTCAACGACCGTCCCTCTTCTTCCAGGACGGTCACGTGGAGAACCGGCGGAAGCTTGGGCCAGGGAAACAAAGCATGTCCTACATCCTTACTTTCCTGTCAGCGTCTCTGAGACAGACCCATAACACCTGGCCACAGCTGGGAGCCATCTGCACACTACTGAATCCCTGAGCCCATGGCTCGTTTCAGCCCAGTGTCACAAACTGGGCTCAGTCCCATCTGACCCTCCTCGGGCACGGGGTGGGTGTTAGTCATCAAAGTCGGGGATGTCATCGTAGGAGTAGCCCTGGTAGCCTTTGGATGCATAGTAGGCAATGCGCAGGTGGTAGCATCCTGGCAGGAACACCAGGATGCCGATGATCAGGACGGGAACGGCCCAGTCTGTGCCCCCTTGCAGAGGTAGCCCACCAGCAGCAAGCAGTTTGAAGGCCAATGGAGCCATCGCCCATGCTGGAAGACCCCGAGTACCTTACTTAACCACTGGGGAGCCCGTAGCCAGCTTAGTATAAGACAGCACCAGAGCACACTGCCAAGTCTATAGGCCATCTGCATGCAGAGAGATCAAACTGCCCCCCTCCCACCTGCCTTGGACCACCTCTTTAAAAACAAAGTAAGAGAGAGACATACGGTCAATTTTCTGAGCCACCAGAGTGCATGGAAACGTATCTCCTATAATCTGAATGACCTGTGTCAAAATAAAGAACAACTGTCACCTAAAGTTAGTGAATCCCCACGCTGCCAGGGAGCTGTCAACCCACCTTGTCCTACCAGTCCTCCAAAGCTTACCAAATCGGGGCCATCAGCCTCATCCCCGCCCTGGTTCCCACCCCAGTGGGTCAGCTCTTCTCCTTCAGCGCCTGCTCCAGCTGAGCCCCCTCCCACCACTCTCTCATCTCAGGGCTTCAGAAACCCTGCCCATCCTCAAAGGCCAAGAATTCTGAATCAGGGGCTATCCAGAATTCAGGAGGCCTGGGAACTTGAGGAGGAAAAAAAACCCCAAACTATCTTCACTCACCTCTATCTGAAATGAAGCATCTCTTTCATTACAAATATAGTCAACAGACCAAAGTAACATGAATAGTTCCTATGACCTTTCAAAAGCACCCCAGTGGCACAGCAGGTGAATCGCTGGGCTGCCAGGTTAGCAGTCTGGACCCACCAGACGTTTGGCAGGGGAAAGATGAGGCCTGAGAACCTTAGGGACGCCCTGGAGTAGGTCTACTCTGCCCCAGAGGGTTACTATGTGCTGGAATCAGTGATAGCACCGGGGTTGTCTTTATGGCTGACAGTTACTGATATTGTCATTTCCCGTTACAGGTACTGGGAGATCTTAAAATATGATTCATGATCCTACTTTGCTAGATAGTAGCTTTCTCATGCACCAACATATATATATATATATATACAGGCGTACACACACACACATCACTAGATTACAGATACAACTTGAACATGACTGATGTCCTTTGTCATTCTATACATTTTATTTTGTGCAATCAAAATCTGAGGAGGCCATCGGCTTTACCAGTCTGCCCATCTGTCAGTGCAGCACATGCAGTGAAAGAATGAAGACCTCTGGTTCTAGGCCAATTTTCTCAAGAGAGCCTCCCCTAGCCTCTCCAGGCCCTCCTTGAAAGGTGAGGGAGGCAGGGATGGGCTGGGAGCCTGGCACACACTCTCCTGCACAGGGCTCGCTGGGGGCTGTGGTTTGCCTGCTTTGCTGACCTAGTGGCAGGATCCAATCCTTTTGCCAGCAAAGGGCTGCTCAGGCTCTAGGAAAGGCCCTCCTGACTGGCTGCAGACCCCCACTGGCTGCTGGACTGTAGGCAGAGGAGGGCTCTCCTCACAGCCGCACTTCCCTTGTCTGCCTCAGACAGAATCCTGTGCAGTCACCTAGCTTAACGCGAGCAACTCCCACCTTCTTTCAAACTGCCTTTAATCCCTGCAAGAAGTTAACCCCCCTTCTCCTTGTCCCTCTCCTGGCTCTCCCCAAAAGACCTTGACTCTTCCAAGATGTCTCCAAACCCTGCCTGCCCAAGAAATGTACACTATCTTGTAAGACCTTGAATTAGCTAGCACCTGCAGCTGGGCTGTTTCCCACAACCCCATTACCCTGACAAACTAATAAGAATGTAATGGCTAGAACATCACTCCTCTTGAGGCAGCCCCCTATTTTAAACTATAAAAAAATTTGAAACTTCTTTGTTCTGGATGGAGAGGTTTCCAGGTGCTAGGCTACTCTCGGTCCCTGCTGTGTAATAAAGCTGTGTAATGATTAATATGAATTATTAACAAATTATTAATAAATAAATAATTACTAATATAGTGGAGTGGTTGATCTCGCCCTGGGTGTGCCCTCATTCCCCACAGGTGACCCCACTCCACCTCGGGTCGCAGCTGACTGAGCTGGGCAAGCTCCTGACTTGGAGCAGTAGGCTTGGAGCTGACATATGATAAGAGCATCATCGCCCACGCTAGTATCAAAAAAGGGTGGGAGGGTACTCAAACGGAGAAAGGACCCCAATAGGAGCAGAGATTCAGCCCCTCACAGAGCTCCTCAGGTCCTGTGGGTCCCCGTATTCTCTCATAAGAATTCGTCGATAGCTAAGACAAAGCCGTTTCATCTATCCCTGCAGTATCTCGCGTCAGCCACATTGAGAGCAGGAACTTTAGACCCACAGCCCACTCCAAGCCTGCTCTCCAAAGCGCAGAGAAACCAGGCGTCTGCACCCTCCTTTCAGATGCAAAACTAAGCTGGGGCCAGCATTTCAGGGACTTGGGTTAAGGGGGTCCAGGTATGGGTTACCATCCCATACCCTCTGGGCTGGTCTCAGAAGGATGTCGAGTTCCGTTTGGGGGTCTGACCTTTGGGACAGGTGTTAAGGGTCTCGCCACACTTCGGCTTGCCCAGCCCCTCTTGCAGGCCCAGTAAAAGCCCTAAGCCCCTCACCGGCCGCACCCACATCCCCCGACCCGGACCCACCCGGCCGGCTCTCTGCTCTCCGCGGCGCCGCGCGCCTCCCTCCGCCTGAAAGCCCCTCCTAGCCTATTCCCGGCCGCCCCTGCCCCCCGCGCCTTCCTGGCACCTCCTCCAATTTCTTGGCGTTCCCAGTGACAAACACGATCGTCTTCCCCGCCCAGGAGGTCGCCATGCCGAATCCCGTTTCCCTGGGGTTCCACTGGAAACCCCTAGCCTCCCATC